TTGTGGCAACTTTAGTTTTCTACATTTTTCTAAGATAACCGTACGAACTAACACTTCCTGTGGGGTAATCTACATTACAAGAGAGACGAATCACATACCTCGGTTTCAGCTGCTGTCCACTTGATGGCTTCGCCCTTTGGGTGGAAAATGTACGCACCGGATACACCGTCACTCGTGCTCCCCCTGTAATACATCATCTCGACGTTAACAGCGAAATTTTTTCCACTTCTTCGGTGAGTAGCTTTGATTTGGACACCCGTTTTGATTGCTGATAGTTTGAATAACATTCGTGCATTCGAATTTATCTCAGGCTCCAGCCCATTGTCGTTCAAACTTGACCCAATATTTGGCGTCACATCCACTTGGTATGTCCTAAATCCCAGGGCCGGGACTGCACAATCAGAAACGGAGCGGAACACAAGGTCCATATCTGTGCTGGAACGGGCCATCTGACGTTCGGGTATGCTCCTGGTGCGGTTCGTGATTTCCAAAAGCTGATGAGTTATCTTGCAGGAATCTGGGTCGGATAGATCGGTGACTCGGACTTGCGTTGAGTACGCTCCGAGGTGAATTGGTACACGAAGCCAGATATCAGGAATCTCCCAAGGAAGAGGGTTGTACAGAGTGATGCGAAAACTTGAGGGAGTACTTAGTTCCTCCTCATCTGTGACCGAACAGAGGCTAATGTTGCGTTCATTGCAAAATTTAGGTGCATTCCAAGGGGTAGAGGTGGTTAGTTCGTTAACCATCAATAGGCCAATTGCTTGGCCGATGAATTCTTTGCAGGGTAGCGCAGCGTTGTTTAAACGCCACACGTAGTCATCAGCTACATGCTGTTGTTCGGTACCAGTTACTGCGTCGTGATGTTGCACAATGGCTACTTGTTGGCGTAACTGTTCAACTCCGGCACCGTATGTGTTTCGGGGCACCATTACATTCAACTGCGTTGAGAATGAACAAAAAACAAATCCGTACATAAATATGTAATGAAAAATTTAGATGAACAGAAACCTCAGTATACTTAGCACACACAAGAAGATGGATGCAAGCGGACGGCGACTTTTGTTTTACTGAATGAATTCAGCAGAAGAACATGGGCGAATACAGTTACCATGGACAGTATTGTTAGCTCACACTTCGATTTACTGGGATTAGACACGCCATATTTAATTTTACCCGGAATTCTTTTTCTGTACAGACGAACTACTTTGAATGGTTTGAGTAGTTTGGCTGAACA